ACGGCCCTCAAAAGTTTATTAAGTATGAAAACTCCAAATAGACACATGCTCAGATGGCAAATAGCTATTCAAGAATGGAGAGGAAGTATGACTATCAAACATAGAGAAGGTAATATACATAAAAATGCTGATGGACTTAGTAGATGGTCTTTGGAAAATATACCAGACAACCCAGCATGGGACGGAGAAATTGCTGCAAAAATTATGTGTTTATTCCCAGAGGAAAATAATGAAAATAATCCTGCCTTTGATGATAACAATGATGATATTAATATTTGTGGGTTACACGTGACTGAAATGCAAGAAGAATTTTGGGATGAAATTAGAATTAGTTATGACCAAAATAAAAATTGCTCCACAATAAAGAATATATTACAAAGTAATTTCAAAAATAATGATCTGATCAATTCCTTAGAAGAACCATGGCTTAGCTCATTCAAAGAAAATAGATTCTCTCTATTAGATGGATTAATTTACCACAGAATCAAACATACAAGTGTAGTAGTTATTTGTTTAAAAGAACACATTAATTTATTTTTGAAAGAATGTCACGACAATATATCCTCAGCTCATTTTTCCTTTGACAGAACAATTGAGAGAGTTAAACAAATTGCTTGGTGGCCTAATTTTAGAAATGATACCAAAGATTATTGTGAATCTTGTGACAGATGCCAAAAAGCAAATAAAGCTACAGGAAAAAGGTATGGATTATTGCAAGAAATTGAAGAACCCAAAGAAAGATGGTCTGTTATTAACATGGATTTTGTTACTGGCTTACCACCCGGAGGACCTAATAATTTCAATGCAATTTTAGTAGTAGTTGATAGATTTTCCAAAAGAGCAAGATTTCTACCATGTCATAAAGAAGATACAGCAATGGATACTGCCTTATTATTTTGGAATTCTATTATTTATGATGTTGGATGTCCCAGATATATCATTACAGACAGAGACCCTAAATTTACGTCAGAATTTTGGAGAAATTTATATGATTTATGCGGGACACAACTGAAATTTTCTACAGCTTACCACCCCCAAACAGATGGACTAGCTGAAAGAATGATTCAAACTTTGGAAGACATGATCAGAAGATATTGTGCCTATGGAATGACATTCAAGGATAAAGACAACTATACTCATGATTGGTGTTCATTATTACCTGCACTTGAATATGCTTACAATTCTAGCAAACACAGTACAACAAATAAAACACCTTATGAATTGGAAAGAGGTTGGACTCCTTGGTTTCCCAAAGAAATTTTAATGTCAAAAGCAGTACATATACACCCAAGTGCCTCTGATTTTCATTTTATGATGACCAAAGCTGAAAAATATGCAGCAGAATGCGTGAAATTAGCTGTAGATTACAACAAAACTAGATGGGATAAAACTCACAAAGCTCACCAGTTTAAAGTTGGAGACCAAGTCTTGATATCTACATTTAATTTTACAAATCTGACTGGACCTAAAAAATTAAGAGATTCCTTTGTAGGACCTTTTACAATCAAACAATTACACGGTGCAAATGCTGTTGAAGTTATACTCACTGGAGAATTAGAAAGAAAACACCCTACATTTCCAGTCAGTCTAATTAAACCATACAAAACTAGTGATAATGACAAATTTCCTTTAAGAAAAGATAACATCAGAGTTATAATACCTCCTTTAGAGAAAGAAGAAATTAAAATTAAGAAGATATTACAACATAGAAAAATCAGAAAAAACAATGTGGACATGAAACAGTATTTAGTAAGATACAGTGGTACCAAAGAAGATGAATGGCTTACAGTTGATAAAATACCTGATGCTGATAAAATTCTCAGACAATACAGAGCTGATAAAAGAAAATAACATTCATTTATTTCTTGGATCAGCCTTTTTTAGAGGGAGGAAGTGTCAGCCACAGAGTACATGTCACAGTACCTTTCATGTACCAAGTAACTGCAACACCTGTACTTATGTACATAAGTACTTATCCATAATGTTGATTACCTTTACCTCTTGTTATCTTATTATTATCATTAACTTATCTTATCTTATTTATCTTACATTTATCTTATCTGTTAATTACTTATCTATTTAAATACATACCTGTGTTCTACATAAGTAATTATCACTTACCTTTCACTCCCTTGTCCGTGAAATACCTGTACCACAAGTTATCCCTCTGCTACAGTATTTTCACGGTCAAATATTATTACAAATAAATATGTACATGTATTAAATAGTAAGTATTAAGTGTCAATAGAATTAATACATTCAATACATGCACAGATCACAATTATGACTACATTATTAGAGGATCTGTTAAGTACACATCAAGAGCAACTAGTACATTGATCAACTAGTACACAATTATGATGTCACTTACAGATCATGACAAATAATGATCAGTCACTCAATTGATGTGCTCATTCTCCTGGCCAAAGCTCCCTTGATTCTGAGCGCTCATTCTTTCCCCCCTTCAGTATTCTGGAACTTATAATCCGTGCCTCTTTCACTGATTAATCCCCAGAATATTCAGACACCAGTTAAACCAGTTAACATTTATATTGATACAGTACCCGTAACCAACATAAATCTTGTCTACATTTATTGTTCTTAAGCTTCAGTACTCTTACTCAACTTATCCACAGTATTCATAGCCTTGCTGAATATTCCCATCAACAATACCTGTTAATCTTCAACTAATTTTGTTAAAGCTTAATAAGTATTGTTAGCCCATTCCCTTTGGGGGAATAACCAAATTAATCCCAGGTGAGTCTTAGGTACCCTGGATGCCTATTTAATACCTTGTATTGATCCGGATGCGCTGTTGATAGCAAGCCTCTCAGTAAAGACCATACTGATAGAGTGAAACCTCCTCTTTACAGGACTGGTATTAATCACCCACTACCTAACACTCACCACGCTCAAAAAACTTCAGTCAACTCATAGTAACAACCTTTTTACTATTAAATACTCAGGTTAGTTACCCAGAGGCTGACAAGGGGTAGGATCGCCTGCATCTGAGTCTTCCTCCGTTGTATCCCGCATTTCACTTGCTTTTCCCTTTCCTTTATCCTTTGGTGGTGGCAAGGTAGTGTCCGTATTCCAATTGAAAGCTGATGATGATCCTGAAGGTCGGTCGAAAATTCGGTTCCTAAAAGGGGTTGACGGTGCAAACCCATCTTCCAAATCTGGTGTACTGTACGGTAGACTCATGTTGATTTTGATTGATGTTCCTAGTTTTCCTTACTTGACGCTCCTTCGATACCTAAACAAACGTTTGCTCTGAAAAAGAAACAAATAATACTATGGTCTCTGGTATCTTTACCAGGGCAAGCTTATGGTTTTCTTAAAATAAATAAATCAGTTAACACTGGGAATTTCTTCTTTCACAGAATCTACTTATCCAAATCCTTCGGTGGTCTTCCTTCTTTTGGTCAATAAGCAGCTGCTTTCTTCGAATAGTTCCAGAGCTCTCTTCAAACAGTATCCTAGTTATCCAGATCCTTTCGGTGGTCTTCCTTCTGCTGGTCAATAACTGGCTGCCTTCTTCAAGATACTCGTTTCAGTCGATGGGTTCACTTTCTTTTCAGAGGTTCGTTGTTTGTGTCGTTGGATTGTTTATTGAGTTTGACTAGTTGATCAACAGAATAACTGAATATGCCGCTGAGTAGTCGCAAATATGTTGATGAATCGTCCGTTACCGCTGAAGTACGATCTCTGCGATGTCTCTGATATCGATGTTTCGTTTAAATGGTCACACGATGTCAATCAGAAGTTTATCCTATCACGTTGGGGACTCCCTTGTAAGACTCAAAAGTGGTTATGAAAACCCTTTTGCTGAATGGAGAAGGGTATGTTGGAGTTGCAAGCTCTGCCCTTCTATGCTATCAGAACAACAAGACCACCAAGCTTAGCTTGGCAGTTATATTTATTGTGATAGAGGATAGTTCAAGATGAAGCTTCCGAGTGATGTTTATAAGGGTCTGAAGTTATAAATGAGTGATGATTATATTGATGGAGTTGTTGTTCAAAGCTTTAATACCAAGGCTTGGAGCTCTGGGAGCGCTATGCTTCAACCAGTAATGGTATGTGAGGCAGGTTATGGGCACTTGGCACTTGTTATGATGATGAAACTGTATGGTTGTATTTCAATATAATGTAGTGTTATGGCTGTCACTTGTATATAATCTGTAAGGATGGTTGAGATGATCTGGTCCACTGGTGGGATGATGGAGGGAACAACTGGCAGGCAGAGGCCTCCTTATATAGACAAATGTGAGGGATTTTAGCCCCAGGGTACAGGCTTTTGAGGCATTTTAGCTGGCCTGAAGATCCAATGAGGGAATTTAGCTAGTCTAGTACATGCAGGTGAGGGAATTTGGCTGGTGAGAGCACTGCCTTGAGGGAATTTGGCTAGCCTACAAGGTCCTACTACAAAGGAATGCATGTGCACCTACAAAGGAATTCAATATGCACTATGTGCCAATAAAGGAATTCAATGCAAGACAAAGGAATTCAATATTCAATATGCATGCAGTATTCAAAACAAGCCACACTGAGAGGAAAGAATCCAAAAGATATCCCGTGACAGGTTGAAATCTGTGTAACTTCTAAACCATGAGAGATATGGGGTCAGTTGTAGTGGGTGACTAGGGTTAATTTTACCTCAGGAATCCATTTCTGTTGTTGTTTTTATGATATATATAATATATAAAGAGATAACCATAAATTTTTATATTTTTCTGCGTAGAAACACAGTATTATTTACCACACCGAGGAAATCGAAAATCCGGGGTGACTGGGCTGGACAGCCCCGGATTTGCTCTGGTTCTCCTGTTTTGCTTTTTTTTGTTTTGCTTTTTTTTGTTGTGCTTTTTTTGTTTTGCTTTTTTTTGTTTTGCTTTTTTTTGTTTTGTGTTTTGAATTGAATTGCTTTTGTTTCGATTTGCTTTTTTTTTTTTTTTGCTTATTTTTCCACCCCCATTCGACCCCAACAACACCACCATCAGGTCGGCGCAAACCATCTCCGGACCAATCCGCTCTCGAAGTCGCCCTCAACAACCTTGATAAGTGTCTCGATAAGTGTCGAGAACCCCCTCAGGGAGCACTCGAAGCCTACGAGACCTTCGCTCAACCACTCGTACAAGACTATGGCCAACTGCTTGAGGCCTTCGGGCCCTCCTTTGCTCTCGCCAAGAGAGTCAAGATCCATCCCGCACTTCTACCCTCCAACGCCCTCCTCAAATCCAATTCGAGTCATCAGCAATACTGGTACCAATGCTACTAGCCTATGGTCAGTCTTCTCTCCCCCTCCCTTTAACTCTGGATCATTAGAAATATTAGCTGAATCTCGTCTGTATCCACAGAGGATTTCCGGAATAGATTTGAGATGATCCCTGCAGATTTCCGGAATAGATTTGAGATGATCCGTGCTCGGTCGACGGAGGTAAACGAGATTGCGATCTGGATGATCTATACGAATTGGAGAAGGATGCCGACGATGGCTTTCGGAGGATCGAGGACCTGACGGCTCAGATAGCACGACTTGCTAGAGACGTCGATCCGATCGACGGCTTGATCGACTGTTTTAATGAGCTAATTGTTCTTGATGAAGATTCAAGAGAGCGGATAGCTTGTTTGATCGAACGCAAGGTAGAATCAGGTTTTATCACCCTTCTATCTGAAAAATATTTGCTTACATTTCTTTTTTTTTGGTATCTTTAGAACTCTCGAGCCATTCACCACTTCAGCCGTCGAGCCATTCACCACTGCCGCCGCTCACCGAGACTGAGAAAGCATTGATCGAGGACGCGCCAGAATTCAAGCCTTCGGAATCTGCTCGGCCGGCTTTCCTGGCCAGTCTCTCCCATGCCAGCCCCTCATCATCCTCCTCAGCCCCGCGTAAAATGCCAGGCGCTTTCCAACCCCCGTTGAAGCCCCGCTTAAGGAAGTGGTTTTGGCTGGCTGGCAAGAGTGTGGTGAATCAACATATCATTGGGATGACCAGGCTTTGCCCAAATATGTTATAAAATATTTTTTGCTTTGTTTGGCTTGGCTTTTTTTGCTTTTGCGTTTTTGCTTTTGCTTTTTGTTTTTCCTTTTGTTTTCCTTTTAGTTTTCCTTTTTGTTGTTTTGTTTTGCTAATAAATAATAGATAGTGAACTTTTGAGATGCACTTGAATGCAAAATTATAGTCCCAGATCATCTTAGAAATTTCAATGAAGGTGGTCAATTCAATGCAGAAACGGCTTGCAGCAGCTTTTTGGGGAGCTTTACTCCTCACCAAACTGCTTGCAGAAGATTCTTCTGGTCAAAGCTGTACAACCACAGTTGACCTGACTAACTGAGCAATTCTTGGGTGATTGTTTTGCTTTGCTATATTTTGTGTGTGCTGTGTGTGCTTTTTTGATTTCCTTTCACTTCTGTTTGCTTGTTTTTGTGCATTTTTGGCCTTTGCTGATCTCAGAAATCACATAAATAAGCAAAAAAAGGCAGAGAACAACAAACAAGCAGAAAACAAAAAGCAGGAAACAGAAAGCAAAAAACAAAAATCAGAAAAAAAGCAGAAAACAAAAAGCAAAACCATCAAGGCTTGAATCTTGCTTGCAGATAGGATTTGCCAGCACTTTGGCCACTGGACAGACTGATTGGATTATTGCTGACACAATCAGTAGTGTGAAAATGAAACAACTCACGTCTGTCCTCCAAGAATAGTTTAAGGGGAAATAGGAGGAGGAGGCACCATTTGATCAAACTGCAGTACTTTTGGACCTCTCACAGGGGCTTTTTGAGCCATCTTGAGATATTTTTTGGCTGACTGAATTTTATTGACAGTATTCTATGGAGTAGGACACCAATTTTGACCCCAGGTGGCAGCAATTAAGAAATTGATTTGTTTGTGGGGAGAAAACTTTCTCAGAATACTGCCAAAAATTATTCTTTCAATTTTGATATGGCTGTAGCCCTCATGCAGAATTTCTTCTTGGTATATATAAACTGCTGAGCAGTTTTCCCTGCTTCAGGAGAGTTTTCAGCTGAAAACTGCTTGGGCAGTTTCCTCTCCTCTGAAAACTGCTTGGGCAGTTTCCTCTCCTCTGAAAACTGCTTGGGCAGTTTTTTCCCTCTGAAAACTGCTTGGGCAGTTTTTTCCCTCTGAAAACTGCTTGGGCAGTTTTTTCCCTCTGAAAACTGCTTGGGCAGTTTCCTCTGAAAACTATGAGTGACCAGGCTTTTGATTTTCCCAGAGAAATTTTGCAACATTTGATAGAATTTTCCATTTACTGAGGAACTTGTGGCTCTACAACCCCCGCATCCCTGGCACTTGAACAGTTGCTAGTGTAAGAATTTTTATCAAAGTGGCCTGTGTCTTTAAATCCTATACACTGTTAATGCTCAAGCCCAAATGATACAGAGCATTAAGGATACACTGTTAGTGCTCAAATGTTACAGAGAATTACGGCTTGCACCTGCAATTGAGACCATTTTGATTTAATACTCCAATTAAGTTAAATGGAAATGATTGATTGCTTTTCCCTTGATATGGAACACTCCATGTTTGCAAACAAGGCCCCAGGTTGATTTTTCTGCATGAAATTGGTTCTTTTTACAAAATCACTGGCCACACACCCACAAATAGATTTCACACATGAAAACCCTAGTGCAGTAAGAGCATCTCCAACGCGGGTGGTAAATCCGGGTTGTAAGCCCCGTTTACCACCCCAATTCCCAAAACACCCCGCCACCGCGGGTGGTATACGGGGAGGTAAGCTACATTTTCAGAACAAAAAATGTACCGAGGTGGTAGATCTACCACCCCGGTACCTCCCTTGATACCACTTGGGGATCCGTGAAATCCTTGCTCCATCTCGTGAAACCCCAATCCTCAACAACCCTTCCACCCCCGATATCCCAACTCTCGGTTGGTAGTGAATATACAAGAATCCTTTGACTACCAACAACACGACGATGGCGGCTAGTACTACGACTACTCCCGCATTGGATCCGCTCTTGGTCATTGATGAAACGGAAGGTATGTACAATTTATGCGCTTTCGTTCAAATCTATGTTGCTTATTTCTTTTTTCTTTTTGATCGATCCAGACCAAGCAAACACCGAAGGGGAAAAGAAAGAAAAGCGAAAGAAGGGACCCACCTATCAAGATCATGAGGATGCTCAGCTAAGCTCCTCCTGGGTTGAGGTCTCCGAGGATCCAAGTGTTGGGACCGATCAAGCCGGCAGTCGATTCTGGGATCGCATATCTAAATGCTACCACGACGCAATTCCTCAGCCGCCTCGACCGATTGGTAGTCTCAAGGGTCGCTGGCAACTTATCTCTCATGGGGTCAGCAAATTCGCCGGTTGCGTCAAACACATTGATCAGTTGAATCCCAGCGGTGCCACTTCCGAGGATCGATTGACGAAGGCTCTTGCTCTTTTTTCCGAGCTTCAAGGAAAGACGTTTGGCTTCCTTCAGTGCTACAATATCCTCACCTCTTCTCCAAAATGGTCCGATTATTTTCAAGATATGAACACAAAGACCGCCGAAGGCCCCAAGAAGAAGAAAAAGCGAGCAAGAAGCCCAAGCAGTGAAGCACCCCCCTTGACCTCTGAACAAGCTTCAGACACCGAGACTCCGAGTGAAACTCCCGATCGACCCGAGCCAGAACGACCAGGGGGGAAAAAAAGGGCAAAAGCGATTCTGAGGGACGCAGCTACGGAGGCACGCATAATGAAGGACATGGCAACCGCGCAAGCCGAGATCGCAAGTCAATCCAAGCGCCAGAACGACATATATCAAAGCCAGACTCAAACGATGCAGAACATGGCCGATGCAGCCATCATGAATAAAGACATCAGCGGACTCGATGAGGTGACTCAGGAGTTCTACCGACTTCAAAGAGAGCAGATCATGCTCAAGCTCCGCGAACGATCAAGAGCTGAAGCCGAACAAGCTAGAGTAGCATCAACTCAAGCGAGCTGCAGCACTCCGACTCAAGCAACAACCTCCTCTAGCAACACTCAAGCGACCACCTCCTCGACCAACATCTCTAATAGTACTCAAGCAACAACTGTTGCTACCGATCCTCAACCCACAACCACCTCAATCGATATACCTCAGTGCTCGATCTGAGGTTTTTTCATGCTTTTTATTTCTCTTTATGAATCACGGTCCAATTACTCATCTCTTTCATATGCTCGCGGTTTCCACTCAGACAGCATTGTTTTTTTTATTATCTATGTATTCATTGATTACATCAATGAAATTGAAAATGAAGAAGAAAAAATCTATTCATCGTCCGATCTTCCTCTCATGGCCCAAAGGTGCTTAATGAGATCGTTCCGCAGTGTGATGTGAGTCGCCTGGCTTCGTAGGGTGCGAAAATTAGAAATGAACACTGAGAAATCGGTCCTAGCGTCCGATCGCTCCAAGTTGACCTCTGAGATGGTAGCAGAGGTATCGTAGAAGTTTTCTACATTTAATGTTCGCTCATCCTCCACAATCATGTTGTGGAGGATGACACATGCCTTCATAATGAGCTGTAGATTTCCATGCCGCCATCCTCGAGCTGGCCGTGACACGATTGCAAAACGAGCTTGAAGAACCCCGAAAGCTCTTTCAACATCTTTGCGGCAAGCCTCCTGAACCTTGGCGAAGTATTTTCTCTCGAGTCCTTGGGGCTGCGAGATTGTCTTGACCAAGGTTGCCCAGTCGGGGTAAATTCCATCGGCAAGATAATAGCCATGCCTGTAAGTGTTGCCATTTACAACAAATTGGCATTGTGGAGCCTCACCATTGAGGAGGCTTTTGAAGAGGGGTGATGTATCCAAAACATTGATGTCGTTGTTGGAGCCTGGCAATCCGAAATACGCATGCCATATCCACAAATCTTGAGAAGCCACCGCCTCCAAGACAATTGTAGGTACCTGGGTGATGGGATCTAGATCAGAATATAGGCAAGACCGGGAGTGATTTAATTTGATTTACCTTCTCTTTCCCTTGAAATTGCCCAGCCCAACCGGATGGGCAATTTTTCCATTCCCAATGCATACAATCCAGGGATCCAAGCATCCCTGGAAATCCCCTCTTCTCTCCAATCGCAAGGAGTCGAGTCAAATCCTCCGTGTTGGGTTCACGAGTATATTCAGCTCCATAGATATCAATGACTGCCCGGCAAAACTTGATAAGGCTTTCGTTCGAAGTTGATTCACCTAGGCGGAGGTATTCATCGTTCAAGTCGGAAGCACCGCCATAGGCAAGCATTCGCACGGCAGAGGTGATTTTTTGTAGTGGTTGTAATCCCGGTTTCCCCAAGGCGTCGGCCTTCTGCAAAAAGTAGTCATTGTGTTCTTGTACATCTTCCGTAATCCTCAAGAAAAGCGACCGTCGCATCCGGAATCGCCTTCAAAAAATGTGATCCGGATAGACAGGATTTTCAGAAAAGTAGTCGTGGAACAGTCGATCGTAGCCTGCCTCAAAGTCTCGTGGCAAGTTGGGCATGCGGCCTGGTCTGGATCCACCGTGCACTGGTGGTTCTTCGTCCTCCCTTCTTCTTCTTAAGAAACTGAAAAGTAGGTTTGTTGAGTTTATTACAGTCATTCTTTGATTGAATCCGTTTGAAAATAGCATCCGCTGGGTTTGAAGTACCACCTGTAGGTGCGCATCGAAGTCGAGGTCCTCATTGAAATCTACGTTCATCTGGAATGGTAGGAAACAAAAATTAGTACAGCTTGCTAGGATTTACACTCGGGGGTGATGGATGGCACCGGGGATTGACCTTTCATGAAGGTTTAACTCTGGTTTTACCACTTTGCGGTGGTGCACATGGCAGAACTCAGTTGGTAAATCGCAAACGCGGGTGGTATATCCAACTTATACCACCCCGGATATACCACCCGCGTTGGAGATGCTCTAAGATAGAAAATAGGCACACTCGAAGATCCAGAAAATAGTAAGGAATAAAGAAAGTGGAGTTGGAAAATCAACATCAACAGTATGGGCAGTGAGTATTTTCCTCGCAGAGAAATCAACAACCCCAGTATAAGT